TTTTTTTTTGTCCCACGATCCTTTAATATATGCACGAACTGATTGATTTATAAAATAATAAAATAAATGAGTTCAACATATTCATCAAATATACTATGTACTTGAAATCAGTTGGATTATTAAATAAAAGAGAGAATGGCACATATATTTTGAAGATTTACATGTGAGAGAAAATTCATCAATTTCGAATAGTTGAAGATACGCTATCTAGTTTTGTGTATGAAGCACATGAGTCAGCTCTCTCAATGATGCGTCTATATATATATATATATATATAGGTTTGAGTTTACTGTCGGAGAAAAAAAAATCCCCATAATTTTTGAGCCACGTGACCAGAAACTGTTCCATAGGGATTGATCTGAAGCGGTAAGATTCTACTGAAAGATACTTATGCATAAAGCTAGATGTGATCGTTCATTTGAGTTCTGAAATAATTGTAGAAGTCCAAATTCATGAGTTTAGGTTTAAGTTGAATTCACTATTTAGCTTTCATTAAGGGCACTTCGCCTTCCCGACTCCAAAAATTCACTTCTTTCGATTTCAATTTTTTTGTATTTAAAAAGACATTTAAGTGTCTTCTATCGAATGGCATGCGAACGAAAAGTTTTCATTGTTATTTAGCATCAAAATGTGTTGTGTGGATCAGCGATGCCTCCTCCTAGTCGCTTTGCAAGTACATTAATTGATAGTTATGCATGAAAAAATAAAAAACACGAAATATCGAAAAAATGGCAGTTTACGTTGTTTCGTGTTTTTCTCAAAATTAACTTTGTTAGAGAAAAGTTGAACTTTTCCTCCATTCTCTCCCAGACGCTTCGTCCGATTTAGCTGAAATTTTTTGTATGACAACTAGGACCAAATTGGGTTGTATATATTTTTCTTTAAATAATGTTCTAGTGATCTTTGGCAGATCTTACAAAATTTACCCTACGAGGAAAAAACGCATTTTTTGACAGGACTTTCAATACTTTAGCTCTTCTAAGCGAAGGAAACAGTATTTTTCAAAGAAAAAAACATACATCCTGACTTGGTCCTAGTTACTACAAAAAATGAATTCTAGCTGTTTACGGAGAGAACTTCAGGTCATTTTTGGTACTTGTGTTCCCTCTATATCATAGAAGGAAGCATCTGGAAATTCTAAGTCTGTGACAAGTTTTACTCTACTAGTCGAGATCTCTGTACTCTTAAAGTGTCATAAATTTTGGTACAGTCGTTCTTAAAAAACCCAGGAAAGGGCGAGGATTCCCTGAAATTCTGCGGTCTACTATATACTAATCTCTTGCAACCGGATCAGATACCCAACACTCGATCTGGAGCATAGGTTCGGGTACAAACTCGTCGGGTCAGGTCGGGTACCGGGTATGAGAAACATTTTCCGGTCAGGTGTACATTTGAGATCATATCCAGTATCCGACTCAGCAATTAATCCGATCTAGACATTTTTAAAATATTTTTACCTTTTCAAACTGCTATTTATTTAAAAGCATAGTATTGGAAAGCGATTCGATCACCGCTGAACAATTAATAATACTTGAGAACAGGTCACAGAAGCCGAAAAGAATATTGTTTTAATAAGAGAATTTGTTATTAATGAAAACTCATCTACGGATGATAAGGGACCATTCGTCAACATAATTGAGTCATAGAGAAGAAAACAAACTATCAAAAAGGTGAACGTGTGTTTTTATGTTAGAAAAAAGCATTCATCTATGTATTCATGAGTACGTTATTTGCATCAACACTACGTTCCATTCAAGCTTCATCAGCAAGCGGCAAACGTATAATTAGTGAAATTGATTGGATTTTAGAAGCAGAAAGACATCAAGCGAATCCTGAATCAATTGATTCACTTATCTTTTTTTGATGGAATTTGAGATGATCTTTTTCTTTTGGTTCTGTTTATGGATGCTACTCTATATTTATTTTTGTTTGTAATAAAGAATAAATATAAATAAAACCTTCATGTTTATAAAATAAAGATAAAATTAATAATAAAGAAACTTTTTTTAAATGAGAACTTAATCTTTAATCTTTACCAAGTAGTTCACAAAAAGTTATGATACCATAGAAGGAAATGAAATGTACAGAAGAGTTTTTTGCATATACTTTTTCATGCATCAGCTTGATTTTTTAATAATATTACATGTTGAAGCGACGTTGCTGATAAGAAAGAATATTGATTAACATATCCCGTTGTTATACTGAGTATTTTCTTATCTACCTATCACAGAAAAAAATCTTTCTTTATTCTTTATCTTATAAAGATATAGACTAAGTAACACCTCCTATTTATGTTTACGCAAGAAACTAAACAGTATACTTTTTCATACAAAGTAGAAGTTTGAAAATTGTACTATGATTGTGAAAGTATTTGACGAGTGCTGATTAGCGCCGGGTCATGATAGAACGTGGGCTGGTCTGGATCGGACTTGGATATAAAATGTCGTACCCATGCAGGATACTGCTGTATACCTCATCCATCATTTGCTTATGAAAATCATTCTCTCCTCTCTCCTGTATGTTCGTAGTGCATCAGATTATCAAAATAGACACCAAATTAGAACGCATGCTTATTCCTATAATAATCAAAATCCATGTATACCTCGATAATATACTCATCTTCATGATTCTGCTTCTCATCTTTCTTGCAAACTTTAGAAGTGATCTGGTTGTTTCTGTCTATTTGCTAAGATTTGATTGCAATAGGATACTCAACAATTGAGTTTCATAAGCTCGCATGAATGTCTAAAAGTACATGATCTTGATATCTCTGCTAAACACGTCAGATTTATTTTACAAAAGTATATACACCTATAAACTTATCAATACTTGACATAAACGCAAATAAAACCTGATCTTATGTATAATCAGATGAAAACAAAACACTTCTTCTATTATTGAATAATAATTCAATCACCATGTTTTGCGTACTTCTTTTCTAAATTTCATAAGAACAAATCAAAATATGATGTGCCGTTATCCAACATAGCAAAATATCAAGGTTTGTAATTTCAGCTGCTACCATTGATTAAAAGTGAGAAGCTATACAAGACGAACAACATTCATAAATATATTTTTGTTCTGTTGTTGTTGTTTCATAAAATAATCCAGTTGACATCTGTGATATACGAACATTTTTTTTTCAAGTACTCATTCATTTCGAATTCATTATAAATATTAAGCATAGTAAGTTGATTTAAATGGTATAAATTATTTTAATTAACCGAATATGATTATTACATATAGATGTTTTTTAAAATCCTATTCATTTTTGGCTGTTTTGTCTTAATGACGAATGCGAGATGTAATTTAACAGCAGAACCATTGGAATTAATTAGTTGTCTGTCTCATATAAGTACAATCATTCTTGGAGTTGCTAGAAATGGTCAGTATATGAATAGCTTATATGTCAATTATGCGAAATTTTCTAGATATTCAAAGAGTGTGTAGATCAACATCGTCAATTGCGGAATGTGCATCAGGTCATCTATCAGAATGCGTCGGACAACAGGTTTATAGACATACGAATCTTCTCTAATCAAATATGTTTTCTTATTCTTTATTTAGATTGGTCAAGGAGCTTTTAGGGAAATTATGGATTTATTAACAAATTGTTGTCCAGATCGAAATAGTCCGGATTGTTCAATAAAAGGTCTATATCATGTGCATTTTTATAGACATTTTTTTCAACATTTTTTATTTTTACTTTTTTTTTACAGATTCAAAGCTACAGGACCAACGTTGTTTTGCTGCTGATTCTTTTGTAACCTTATCTAATGGCAAACAAAAATCAATTGCTGATCTACAATTAGGTGATTCACTTCTTGCTTATGATGATAAAACAAAGAAAATTCTCTCTACACATCTACTTACTATGCTTGACTTTCAACCACATCGATTTGGTAAAATAGATTAATATAGTTATATTTTACTTTTCATATTGTTTTCTATATTAGCTTTATTCAAACAAGTGACTACAAGTACAGGTCGACAGTTATCACTTTCTTCATCTCATCTTGTTCCAACTGATAAACATGGTTATATAATGGCAAAAAATATTCGCATAGGAATGAATGTTTATGTCATGAATAACAATGGTGTTTTAATTAGTGAACGTGTTTCAAATGTATCTGATGTTGTCAAACAAGGATATATAGCTCCATTAACTGAAGAAGGTACATTAATTGTAAACAATGTTGCAGCTTCTTGTTATGCTACAATCAATAATCATTATGTAGCTCATGTTGTATTAGCACCGATGAGATGGTGGTATAGTTTATTTGGTATATCAAATAAATCAAATGAAGTAATTGGTATTCATTGGTTTCCAAAAATCTTATATGAAATAACCACATTTTTTATACCT